AGATAGATAGATAGATAGATAGATAGATAGATAGATGAATGGATGATGGATAGACTGTACCTTTGACACATTACCAACACGGATCATATATTCTCATGAAAACACTTTCATTCAACATTTTTGTCGTGACAAACATTAGATCTCTCTTGATTCTTTTTTTTTGCTGAATATCAGTTTTTTATCAGCTTTTTTTAAATGTAAAAACGAATTTCACTTCTCTTTGCTGGTTGCTCATAGTAAATGATCTTCATGTTCTTTTCTGTTTTACATATAAATTCAGAGACTGTTTTTACGACAACAACATAATGTTCTACAGTGTACTCTGTGATCTTCAGGGGTTTCGGTGGACTATTAATCAATAATCAGTGATGAAACCAACCCAGAGCTGTAGCAGGATAAGCAGAAGCGAGGACCGTGCGCCTCACTGTTGGTGGACTCACCTGGCTGCACTTGTGACCTGCTGCTGTGCTCTGATTGGTCAGGACGTGTGGCAGCAGGTGAGGGAGGGGCAGATCGACCCGCTGACGCTGAAGGAGATGTTGGAGAGCATCAGGAAGAAGGCCGACGTGCCGCTGTCGGTGCGCTCGCTCAGGTTCCTGTCGCTGGACGCCGACGACATGGACGACTTCGTCCAGCTGCACAAGCTGCAGCCAATCAGGCGGCAGGTAACGCTTGCATCACAGGACATCACCAGGTAGAGCAGCAGACAACATGCTGCTGGCTCAGGCTTCAGTCACGCTGATCTCACCGTGTTAATAATTCACATCTATAGAGAGTCGTCATGATAACGAGCACCTCTTCATCCATTTAAAATGTGTCTCAAGACTTGGAGCTGTTGGGGGCAGACGGTTGTTACTGTTCCCCTCCCAGACGACTCCAGCGGGAATCCTGGACAGCTGCTGACACAAAGTGGTTTCCAGTGCAGAAATAGGATTAGTAGTGTTTACAGTTGTTGACCGGACTAGTTCACCTGGCGAGGACAGAGTCCACCTGAGCAGTGGCGTCTGAGCAGCCACTGTGTTCCTCAGTAGTTCATCTTGTTGTCACAAACACAGCAGCAAAACACTGATGCTGCTTTAAGGTGGTACCTGACCACAGCTCGCGCTCTCATTGGTCGATCGTTTCAGACGGTCATCACCTGCATCGGGACGCTGAAGAAGAGCACAGCGGACGAAGACGGCGTCAGCTGTCTGGTGATCGGGACGGAGAGCAGCGACGTCTTCATCCTCGACCCCGAAGCCTTCATCATCCTCTCCAAGGTGAGCTGGTCAGAACCGGTCTGAACTGGTCTATACTAGTCTGATCTGGTCTACACTGCCTGGAACAGGTCTGATCTGATCTGAACCAGTCTGCATCCAATCTAATTTGGTTTGAACTAGTCTGAATTGGTCTAAACTGGTCAGAACCAGTCTGAACTGGTCGGCAGGTGTTTGGGTTCAGAGGATAAAGACAAACCCGTGAAGCGGTTCTGTCCTCCACAGATGTCGCTGCCGGCTGCTCCCACCGCGATGGACGTCACGGGTCAGTTCGATGTGGAGTTCCGCATCACGGTGGCATGTCGCAACGGCAACATCTACATCCTGCGAAGGTGAGACACCTGACGGCGATGCTGCTCCTCACTCTGAGGGTTTTAAACAACCCCTCCACCTGCACACCTGACCGACGGACTGAACCTGACTCATGTCTGTTTCTGCAGGGAGTCGGACAAACCAAAGTATTGCATCGAGCTGTCGTCTCACCCCGTCGGTCTGGTGAGACTCGGGAAGAACGTGGTGGTCGGCTGCACCGACGAGAGTCTGCAGGGCTTCACCCAGAAGGTCAGGTCATGTGGTCACCTGGTGGACTCAAGCAACACAAACATCATAGACGGGTCATTTCATGTAAAAACCATCTAAATCTGACCTGAGTTCCTCCAGAACCTCCTCAGAACATCTGGTTCTGTACCTGCAGAACCTTTGTCTACTGACCAGAGTTCTACCTTCAGACTGTGAATGTTCCAGAGGTCCAGGTCCTTGAAGTCCACAGAGGAGGGTCCAGATTGATCACTTTAATGGACTTTTTCCATCATTTCTGAGCCTCAGAACTTCATCAGTCCAGCAGATAGACACATGACATTTAGGAGGAAGAACACATCTGGGTTCTACTGTTGAACGTCATATCAGCGTCTGTGATCGGTGATTGGTCAGAACAATTTAGAGCAAATAAATGGTTGCAGGATCTCAAATGTGAGATTCTGTTTACTGAAGGAATTAAAACCATCATAATTCCTGCAGCATCTTTTTCATACTCTGTAGAAACGAGAAGTTCTGAGGGTCCAAAATGCTGGAAAGAATTATACAAATTAAAAAGTGATCAATCTGGACCCTCCTCTGTGGACTTCAAGGACCTGGACCTCTGGAACATTCACAGTCTGAAGGTAGAACTCTGGTCAGTAGATAAAGGTGCTGCAGAAACAGAACCAGATGTTCTGAGGAGGTTCTAAAGACTGAATGGTTTTCATGGAATGACCCATAAATGTTGCATTTTCCAAGTTACAGGATTCGTTGCATGTTTGTGTCTTCAGGGTAAGAAGTTGTGGAGAACCGTCCTCGCCGCTCCCATCACCACCATGGCCGCCATGGACCTCCCCACCAGGGGCTTCCAGGCGGTGCTGGTGGGCCTGGCGAACTGCGAGGTGCAGCTGTTCCGGGACAAGAACCTGCTGAGCACCATCAAGACGCCCGATGTGGTCACCAGCATCTGCTTCGGCCGGTACGGGCGCGAGGACGGGACGCTCATCATGACCACCAAGGGAGGCGGCCTGATGGTGAAGATCCTGAAGAGGACGGCGGCGTTCGATGACAGGGACAGCGCCCCTGGCCCGCCGCCGGCCCAGAGCATCCGGCTCAACGTCCCCAAGAAGACGAAGCTATATGTGGACCAGACGCTGAGGGAGCGTGAGAACGGCCTGGTCATGCACCGCGCCTTCCAGATGGACCTGAGCCGCCTGCGGCTGGCCGCCGCCAAGGCCTACGTCAAGGCGCTGGAGTCCAGCCTGACGCCGATGTCCTCCAGCCTCACCGAGCCGCTCAAGATGAACGCTGTGGTCCAGGGCCTCGGCCCGTCCTTCAAGCTGACCCTGAACGTCCAGAACACGGCGGCCTGCCGGCCCGTCATGAACCTGGCCATCAGCTTCCTGTATGACGAGAGCCTGTACCGGATGAGGAGCCCCTACCTGAGGATCCCCCTGCTGGTGCCCGGACTCATCTACCCTGTGGAGACCTTCGTGGAGTGCACCAGCGACAAGGGCATCTCTGACATCATCAAGGTGTTCGTGCTGCACGAGGGGAGGAGCTCACCGCTGCTGACCGCCCACATCAACATGCCGGTCAGCGAGGGCCTGATGCTCAGCTGATGCTCACCTGATGGTCACCTGGTGCTCACCTGATGCTCAGCTGGTGCTCACCTGATGCTCACCTGGTGCTCAGCTGTAGCTTCATTTATTGCAGACGCGATTCAGAGAATGAAAGAAACTGTGTTCAGTTTGGAAAAGTTTTGTTCTGATAAATCCAGATGTAAAAATTTAAGAAACCAAAAAAAGTTTATTTAAATTCTAATGTGAATGATTCAGATTCAGTTTCTAGTGTTTCATATTTCTGCCCATAAAATACAAAAACGTGACTCGTTCACATGTAAATTAGATTTGAATTGCTCTGTTATAATAATTGTTCTAAAAAGTTTGAATTACTAAAGTAAAATAACTGTAATCTCGTAATTGGAATTTCTTAGATTGAACCTGCTCTGAAATTGTAAAAAGAAAAAATAAATTTAGAAAGAAAAGCTATGGGTAGGAATATGTGCCACTACGATCAGAATTAGAGTTTGAGTTGCTCAACTTGAATAACTGCAGTGACTTTGAATCTGAACTGTGATATTTGATCAATTTCACAATTTTACTTTCAATTTCCACTTTAATGTAACTCAGTTTAAATCAAATAAATTACTTTCTTTTAAAAAAATATTCAAGTTGAAAATCAGAAAAATAAAAGTTTTCAAAGTAAAATACAGGTATTTAAATATCAGCATTAGTTCAGTTTTCAGGTCATGTTCGATGATGAATCATCACAAATTAAACTGTTTCTGTAAAACAGTTTTAGCGCCTCCACTGGTCAGACTGCGTCATTATGGATTCATCAGACGGAGGAGACGTTTCACAGACGTTCAGCTGCTTCCTGTTTGTAAAGCTGCAGAGTTTCTGAGACTTCAGGGATAAAAATTGCTGCAGAGTAAAAACTTGTAGAAACATAATGAATATCTTCTGTATTTTTTAAATGTAGTCTCGTATGGACACAAATAAAAGCTGAATAATAAATGAGTTTGTTATTTCACATCAGCCGTGTGTTTGGTTTAAGCAGAAACTCCATAAATCCAATCTACTCTGGAATCACTGGCAAAAACACAACAAACACTAACGTTCAAGGATTTCATACCTTTTTGTGATCAGACTTCATAATTCAGGCTCCAGCGACATCTCTGGAGGACCGGTTCCCTCGCTTTGGGTCACATTATTTACAGCAGCAGAGAATCAGCAGTGACGGTTTCTACAGCAGACACGAGCAACACAGAGACGCTCACACAGCAGCACAAGGCCTCACCTGCCATCAGGAGCCAATGAGGGCTCAGGGTTTTGTCTGAGGACACTTCAGCATGAGGAGTCGAACCGCCAACCCCGCAGGTAACGGACAAGCTGCTGCAGAGAGGCGGGAAAACGAAAAATAAGAACTGCTAGTCAATTAATTCATGTAACAACTGAACAATTTAAAATATTTCAACAAAGAAGGGTGAAAAGAAGGTCATGATGTCCGTAAATGTGTCATAGATCAGCTGTAGTACCTGGTTGTTCCAGCAGGTGGAGCCTCTCTGTGTTTAGTCCTGTAGAGACCAGAGGAGGCGCCACTCAGACTACAGCTCATGTTGCTGGAGTTTAGCTTGCATTTTCCAAACGTTTTGCATGAGTTTGAAGTCATCTTGGATGAGTTTTGAATCATTTTAAACTACTTACGTGTCATTTTGGACAAGCTTTGAGTCTTTTGGATGAATACGGTCAGTACGAGGAGACGTACTGACCGTCCAAGGAAGTCACCAAATATGGTCATTTGCCTCATGAAGGGTTCACAGTGTGGGGCGCTGCTGTAGCTCACCTGGTGGAGCTGGCGTCCCAGGTGCAGGGCTACAGTCCTGATGTGGAGGTCATGAGTTTGAATCCCGCTCATGTCCTCCCCCACTTCCCTGTCTCTCTCTCTCACTGCTCGGTTAAATAAAGGCCAAAAAAATAACTTAAAAAAAAGGGTTCACAGTGTTTCATGAGTCCTGAACTTTGTGTGTCCCGAGCAGATGAATGATAAAACAGTTCACACACATTAGATTCATAAACCTCCAGCTTATCAGCCGTCATTACGTTTAGCTTCCAGGGTTATTCATGTCTACGCGCATGTGAAACGTCTTGGTCATGTCTTCGGACAGGACGGTTCACTTCTCGGTGACGTTTACGACCCTGATGGAGGGTTAGGGTGAGCCAGCAAGAAGCATGAGCAGGTGAAATGAGCTGAACGGTCAGACTTAGAGAGGATCTCTGCTAAACCTGCTGCTCCCGGCTCAGCGACACACCGGACACCGGACCTGGGGCCTCATGCACAAAGACTTGCGTGGATTTCATCCTGAAACCTGGCGTACGCTTCAATCCTGAAAACTGCGAACGCACAAGCAAATCCAGATGAACCACAGTGAGCGTACGCCTGAATCCAGCACATTTCCTTTGTACATCTCACTCAGCGTGGAACTGACATGTTGGAGAACCAGACAAAACTTTGTCTCATGTCAGATTACTCAGTTTATTATTTTCCAACATGAGGCAGGAGGAGACTGAGACCCGGTCCCAGCCTCGTACCACAGACCCGCCGGATTCCTCCAGCCTCCCCGGGGTCAGCTGATCCTCCGGTCCGCCACAACAGCTGCTGATGCACATGCTGAA